ATACTTTTGCTATACAAAACACTTGAGTTTCCCAATATCTTATTTAGATAGCAACTGGCATTTAGATGATGCCTGGGATGTCCTTTGCTTTTGTTAAAAGAAGAAACACTTCATTTTTTGACAGTACAAATTTACAAAACTGCATTTTACACCCGCTCCTTTATAAAACATGAAATATATTAGTGCCAATAGTAATTTTAAAAAGATATCAAAACTGAATAAATTCCCACCCTATCATTCAAAATATCACTTAAAATATTAACATCATGGCAAAAATTAGACAACATATGAGAGGAGATATGACAATTCAAATTAGTCATGATCTTCTTTAAAAATAAGGTGAATCACATGATTCATGTAGACTGGTACATTCTGGTATGAAAATGTATCTCACACAAATCTACATACGCCTATGAGAGTTACTTAAAACAAGATAAAGATTTGCATTGCAACTATATCCACGTGTGAAAAGATTCTATATTTAAAGAGGCCTCTGACTCAAGAGAAAGAGGATATAATATTTAGGTATACATGGTACCAAAGTAAGCAACCAAAAAGAATTCCTGGAAGAATTTACCAAATTCTGCTAATAAATTTTATATACAGATAGATATTGCCCGGGGGAGGGGGTGGGGGGAGTAGAAAAGACAAAAACATAGCTTTTGGAATAGAAAAAGAAATAGAAGGCCATTCAACACTCAACAAACATTTTCAAACATGTATTATTATATGCCAGCCACAGTTCCAGGCACTTGGAATACATTAATGAACAAAACAAGCTAAGATTTTTGCCCTTAGAGACATAACATTGTAGCAGAAGAAAAATCTAAGCAATAAAATGGGACCGTTTCCCACAAATTTCTTATATGCTTAAGATAACATAAATACTGGGATAAATGTAATGGTGTCACACAGGGGAAAGCAAAGTTAAACTGCTGAGAAGAAAGAAAGAGAATCTGAAAAGCCAAGAGCAAAAGTAAGACCAAATTAAGTGATGGAAAACTACACTTCTTAATAATTCATAACAATTTAACCAAATTGACATCAAGTTTTCCAAAATTATAAAAAGTACATTATTATTTACAAAAACTATACTGAACTTAATCAAAGTTCAGATGGTAACTCTGGGTTCTGTAAGAACCTTGAAGAGGCAGGAGGGTTACTATGAGTATATGCTTCTGTGACACCAATGTTAAGGGTCTGAATTCCAGCCAGCAAAAGCACGAAGACCTTTCAAGTTTTTCCTCTACAAAACAGAAATGATAATACCACAAAGGGCTATTACCAGAATTAAATGATAACCAAAAACTGGAAACAACTCAAAAATCAGAGAAATGCACAAAGACAGCATATCAAATTCCCTGGAATACTACTCAGCAACACAAAGGAATAGACTGATACAAGGATGAATGTTAAATGCATCGTGCTGAACAAAGAAAACCAGATACAAAAAAGTACGTATAATTCCATTTATATGAAATTCTAGAAAATGCAAACAAATCTATAGTAAAAAAACAAAAAACAAATCAACAGTTGCTTGGAACTAGTTGTGGAGAGGGATTGGTTGCAAAAGAGCACAACGGAATTTTTCCAATGTTGGAAATGTTCTATACTTTGTTTTCATGCATGTAAACATTTGTCAAAATCCATCAAACTCTACAGTGTAAGTAGGTATATTTATTGTATGTAAATTATACCTCAAAAGGTTTTTTTTTTTAATGGATTAAATGAAATAATATACGTAAAGCCCTTAACACAGTATCTGGGATATAAGAAGTATTCAACAAATAGTAGGTATTAGTAAAAACGTCAACTATCACTATACAACACTCATGGGGAGGTGGCAGAACTGATGACCGCCTGATTTTTCTGGTCTAAATTCTAAATAAACGTAAGCGTACAGTACTCGACCTAGACCAAAAGACAAAGTTAAAGGAGGACCCCAACTGGTAGCTCTTAGCAAAGGACAATGATAATAAGGATAGGGAAGAAAAGAAGTAAAAAATGCTTGCATGTCGGAAAGAAAAGAAAAAGCTAACAGTATGACATGGTTATCAATGATAGAATGTTACCAATGCCCAAGAACACCTAAATCAACTCATTCAGGCATTGTCAGAATGTAACTCAGTCAGAATGTAACTCAAAATTGAGTCAATTACTTTGTTTATATAAACAAAGTCTAATGATAGTCCAATAGCTACAGAGGAGATAGGCCTTAATTTTAAGGGTGGGTGGGAGTAGAGGGGAAGTGGGAAAAAGCCATCCATGAAGACTTCAAAATGAAGACAAAAGATTTAGCCAATCAAGCAGGGCAGCACAGTTCAGAGACACCCAGCAACAATTATGAATCCAAAAGCCAAGGTTTGTTGGTTACAAGCCTACTGACTTAAAAGAAAAAATCTTACAAAGATAAGGAGTTAAGGGCATCTAGATATTTTAAGTTACTTAAAATACAATTCAAGTGAAACACAAAGTATTTGTGAAATGTATGACATTTTACTGCTTAGAAATATTTATCAAGGTAGAACCATTTTTATAAATACATAATTCTGTTTAATAACAGAAGTCCTGTAAATAAGACCAGAGAAATGAATCTGCTGTCACTCATGAAAGCACAAGTCTTCTGACATACATATGAAAGAAAGAATGAAAAAAAAGAAAAGAGAGAAAAACTAACACCCCAATTGGACACTCTGGGAAGCAAAAGACTTCAGAATATAAATCTAAATTGTTAAGGTTTAGTTTTGATTTTAAGAATCTCCACTTTTAGCATTTATTAAAGAAGCAGAAAGAACAAGACAAAGAATCACAGGTTCTGGGTTACAACTCTAGTTCTGGCAGAATTTGGATTTCTTTTTCCATAAAATTTGGCAACTGAGGTAGGCTATTGAAAAGTATCCAAGTTTAGCACTCATGCTCTAGTTTGAAAATAATTTTTTTCTAAAAGAGTCAATATAAAATTGCAAGGCATGGCCAGGTGCAGTGGCTCACACCTGCAATCCCAGTACTTAGGAGGTCGAGGCAGGTGGATCACCTGAAGTCAGGAGTTTAGACCAGCCTGGCCAATATGGTGAAACCCTGACTCTACTAAAAATGCAAAAAATCAGATTAACGAGGTGGCGGGAGCCTGCAATCCCAGCTACTTGGGAGGCTGAGGCAGGACAGGAGAATTGCTAGAATCCAGAGGCGGAGGTTGCAGTAAGCCGGTATCACGCCATTACAGTCCAGCCTGGACGACAAGAGCGAAACTCCATCTCAAAAAAACTAACAAAATTGCAACGCGAGTTAAGCATTTTAAATTTAATAAAGCATGAAAACATTACTCTGTAAGTTATCTTACTAATTTAAATTAAAATACTAAGGACCACGTATCTAAAAAAACAAAAAATTGCAACACAAGCACTTCTATTTTTAATAAAGCATGAAAAAATTACTCTATACGTTATCTTACTAAATTAAGATAAAATACTAAGAACCATGGATGTTGCTGATGGCAAAAAGTAATATATCTTCCAGGAGTTAACTGTTCATTCTGGAAGATTTCTTGACTCAAGTTCTAAAATAATAGGATCCAAGTAATTACACACAATACTGGTACTTTTAAGGCCATCTTTCTTTTGGGTCAAGACCCACAGAATAGCAAAATTTTCCAACGTTGTGCTTATTAAGAGTTCGATGAAGTAATTCTTGTACATAATATAATTTTACCTTAATTTTCCTTTCCATGGAAAACTGAGTCACATTACAAACCATTTTATTTAAAAAAGGAGTTCTCACATACAAAAAAGTTCTCACAGCTCCAAACCTTAGGGATAAATGCTGGGTTTTGATTATATATTATATATATAATACACACACACACACATATGTATGTATGAGCATATATATGTTATATATGTATGTGTATACACACAGTTAAGGTCATCCTGATGCTACGGCCATATTCATTTGCTACAGAAAAATGTAAGACTTTCAAGAAATCACACACCAAAGAGAAATGTGTTAAATAAAAGCAGAAAGTAGTAATAACAGGGTAACATAATGAGTTCAGAACACTACCAGCCAATCAAAGGCATAAAAGCATTTCCTGCAATATTAATAGTCAAAAGAGAAAACCAATCACGGAAACCTAAAGCTTCCTTTTGACAGTCACAGAGGCAAGAGAACCAATCCACACACACTCGAGGTTGACAATAAGGCGGGACTGTAGGTTCATTGAAGAAATTCTTGAGGATGCAGTTACTATGAACTTCGCACACAAGTAACACCACTCGAGTCATAAACACTCTTGTCAATACAGACGAAATTCAACCGTATGTAAAATCTAACCCGTCGGAGGAAAAGCAGCAGTTTTGTCAAAAGGTGCCGTATTATCAAAATTACAACCGCCAATTTAGACGCACTAGGTCCTCAACTTCTAAGGACCACCACGTAATGACAATTTTCGAGGATAACGTTGCGCCGGCGGCCAGCTCCGGAGCATCCTCCGCTCCTCTCTAACGCTGCGCACCGAGCGCGGCGGTCCCGGCGGAGCAGGCAGAGCCCGTTCGCCCCGCGCCCGGCTCGGCTGAACGGGCCGGCGGGCGGCTCTCGGACACTACGCCCCGCTAGGTAGTCGTGGCCCCCGCCCTCCCCCGCCGCAGTGCTACACCGGCTCATCACGCTGCACCGTCGCGGGCGGGGGAGCCAGGACGATTACATTGCTGGGAGGAAGATGTTTGTTTTGAAAGCGTCTTACTTTCCACAGTCATTTCAAAGAGAACCCAATACAAAACCAAATTTAAAAGTGGAAAAAATAATAATCTTGCCCAGCCAAATAATAACCCGCCATTAATGAACCCCGTGCCTGGGGGAGGAAGGTGGGAAGGTAAACAGAGACCGTACGCCAAGTGCGGCCAGCGCATCCCCCTGCGCCATTCCCGGCCGCCGCTTACGGCAAGGCCCCCTTACGGCAGCGTAAGCAGCGCTGCGAGCTAATCACAACACTGGGACGCAACAACATGGCGGCCGCGGGCGGGCACTACGCTGGCCGAGAGGGTTTACGCTACTCCGCCGGCGTAGAGTCCCATGCGTTGGAGCGGCAGCGGCGCCCTCCAGCGAGCGTAAAGCGCTCTGTGAATGGCGAGGCCCGACTGACAAAGGGGAGGGGGGAGGAGGGAAGGGGGGGTAATAAACACTCGAGTCCCTACCGATTCCTCCTCCTTCTCCATCCCGGTGGGCATCTGGGGCACGGCCCGGTTGATGGAGACGCAGTCGTTGAGATCAGGCATGTCCTTGCCGCGGTAGATAGGCAGCGGTTTGGCGGCGTCCAGCGCCCGCGCTCGGAAGGAGAGTTTACTCATTGTCTCCCCGCCTTACAGGAACAGCCCGGGCGGCGGCGGCGGGGCGGGCGGGGAGGGGGGGAGGACTCCCGCCGCCTCCTCCACCTCCTTCCTCAGTGCAGCGCGGCCGGCCCGCTCCTCCTCCTCCTCACTGCCCCCGGCCACAGCATGGGCGCCCACCCCGCCCGAAAACAGCCCCCCGCCGCCCGCGGCCGCTTCCACACACTAGATCCGCCGCTCGCCCGCCCGATCCGCTCCCTGCGCCATGGCCAACATGGCGGACATTACCACAGCGGCGGCGAGCGATCCCGGCAGCCCGCGCGAGAGCGCGCCCCCGCCGCGGGAACGCGCTTCGCCCTCTCCTTCCCTCCCTCCCTCCCTCCTTCCTCTCCCTTCCCCTCCCTCGCCTGCCCACCCACTCTCTCCGCGGCGCTGCCGGCCCGCGGGAGCGTGCTCGGTCTCGGTCTGCTCCGCAGAGAGGGGGCGGCGGCGGCGGCGCCCCTCCGCTCGCCGGCCGGTGCTCTCGGTGTGGCAGGTGCCAGGTGCGCAAGTTCGCCCGCGCTCTGGAGCGTGCGCCTGTGCCGCGCCGCCCGGTCACCACTCTCGCTGGGTGTCCCGCGGAAGGCGCCGGGCGAAGACAACTGCGTCGAGCAGCGCGTGTGTGCTTAAGTCCGGGAGCGGGAAGGGAAGGTGTCGACCCGGGCCCCACCAGCCACCACCCAAGCCTGTACTCGGACAGCGCTTATCCCCAAGGCGCCCCGAGCGCAGGCTAATTATTCGCATCCTCCGAGGCGCACATCCCCAAGAGGTGAAAGCGGTCCGTCCCGTCAGTCCGCTCGGAGGGGCGCCTCGCGGCTGATGTCAGCAGTCTCCTCCGCCCTCCCCTCAGTACCTGTCCGAAAGAGCTCTCCAAGGTGCGGCAGCGCGCTAGTCCTCGCCTTCGCGGGGTGGATGCTCAGGCCAGCAGTGAGGGTTCATGGTTTGAGGCTGCCAGATGCAACAAGTGAACTTGAACCTGTCACCCAAACTTCAGTACAGCTGTTTAGTGGATGGTAGGTATTTCTCTGAGTTCAAAAATAGTAGCGTTCCTAAAAGTTCAGCTAAAAATTTAACCAAAGGCAGCACACATTTGCAAAGTAGCAGATGTGTGTCAAATGTGGGGTGCTGTAGAAGTCTGAAAAAAGGTTCCTGTCTCAGAGAGATTTCACATTAATGGGATGCCAGGATGGTTGGAAAGACGAATAACAGTAAGAGACGTAAATAGCTGAAGAAAATGGCAGCTGGAAAGATAAATGGCAACCGAAAAAAAGTGTAAATATTTGAAGAAAATAATACAAGAGATGACACAGGCAGTAAGTAGGAGATGATTAATTACCAAACGAGATGTAGGCAATAATTGTGAGAGTTCAGAGAAAGGAGGCATGACTGCAGCCTAAACTGGTTGGAGAAAGTTCTCAGGAGGAGGGAAAATCAAGGTGACTCAAATAAGTACTAACTCTTGTTGACACCCACCTGGTTTAGCCAAGAGTCTCTTGGTTAGTCTTTAAGCATTACATATTTCTCACAAAATCCGTACATAGAGAGTTTTTAACACATTGTACCATTATTCTAATAATCGATCAATTCTCTGCCTAACGCAGAGAAAGGCAGATGGTTTCCTAAAGACCAACTGAAAAAAATTGATTCCTACTGTCATTTCTGTGACATTAAGACTGTATCTCTTCCTCTATTAAGTCCTTTTTCCCCTCCTCCACTTCCTCCGCTCCTCCTTTTTCTTCCTCTTCGTCTTCCCCTTTTCTCTCTACAGCCTCCTCCTTTGAAGGCAGAATGGTGGACACAGTCTTCATGGTAGTGTCCAAATAGTGTCCAGTCTCTCCCAGCAAAATTCGGAGTATTGTTTAGTGGAGCTTGAGTGTTTTTCATATACTTTGTTATTGGAAACAATGGCGATGCTGTGACTCATTTCTTGTAAGCAATACCTTCCTCAAGCTTATGGGCATGTCCTGCTCTAAGTGCTACCTCTGGAGCAGTTCCAGTTCTCTGCAAGGAAAACAAGAAGTTCTTGGGAGGGCGTCAGCACCGGGTTCAAGCCTGAAAGGGAAGAAAAAAGAAATAGTTGAAGAAATGAGTCATCCAGAGCTTTCAGCTGGATGCCCAGCCCTCCTCGGGTTCAGGAAGGATAGCTTTCTTGTAGTCTCTATGTTTAGTTTCACTGTTACTCTCTTTCAGAAAAGGAAACGTTGAGTATGTATAATATGCCAGCCATTGTAGTAGCGTGTTATAGATATTATCTCAACTAACTGAATTCCACTTCTTATTATAACTCTATGAAAAAATATAATTTTACCAATAAGAAAACTGAGTGTCACATAATTTGCCAAATTTCAATTCTAACAACTCACAGAATTGAGCTCAAATTCAGATCTGACCTGACTCCAAAACTCTTGTTTTCTCAGTGGTGCTACCCTGCTATCCAAGCTTCTCAGTTTATTGACCAGTCAGCATTTTAAAGCTGCTAATCCAAAGTTGATGACTAAGACCTTACAACCAACGACCAAGAGAGTGTATCACCCAGAGCCTAAAGTTGCAGTAGACTCAAGGAGGGAAGGCACAATATCCGTCTATCAATCTCTGTATCCCCAGTTCCTTGCCTCACGTATGGCAGACATCTAAGGTATATTTGTTGACTGATATTCCATGAAGAAATTGGCTGATACTGACCCCATGCCACTCTAGCTTATAGTTTACATACCTTACTGGCCTGTCACCTGACCTAGCTATTGCTGCCAATATTTGCTATTACTGTGGTCTACCCGGTTTCCAGCTTCCTGCCTTTGGGCATAGAGATTTTAGAACCAATTAGAGCAATTCAAAAAACACCTTTTTGAAACCTGGAATTTAACTATAGGAAGGGATTTTTGCTGTAGTAGTTGTTTCTTTGTTGTTCTTTTACTCTGACCATGTAAAAGATTTCTTCCCCAAATCTCCATTTTCTTCTCACCCTGTAGGCAATGATTATAGAGCTGGGAATAAAACTGTTTGAGGCAAATAACACAATACACTTTTCAACTGAGATACAGCCTGTGTTTTCTTGGCTTCCAATTTAGTGCCCAAATCACAATGCCTCTGTTCACATTCGGAAAGTAACGTATGTAAATATTACCTTTCATAAAGTTTATTTCTGATTGATTTGTTGAATACTCATATAATTGTTAATGCTAAAAACAGAAAATATCTTCTTATAAAATAAAAAATTATGAAATACTTTTATCAAGACCTGCTTCAAATGGATGTGCAGCCTAATCTCCAATTTTAATTTTCACGTACAATGCGCTGAGTACAGTCATTCTAAAATCAGTCCACTTAAATATGCTCTGCACCAATTCCAAATGACATGCGTTTAGCCCAGCAAACATAATATATAAGCACCCAAGAATTAAAACCAGTTTTAAAGCCATATCAAAATAAAATCACTATCTAAATGTAGTCTAAATTAGAATAAATGTCAAGTAACTGTTAGAACTGGAATTACAATCCAGTTTCCATTTCCCAGTACTATAATCAAGGCAGGCAGCTTCCAAATAATGGACAAATTACTTTTTGTAAGGAATCTTAAAACTAGTAAACACAGTTGCTATTCAACTATTTCAGAGTTTTGTAAATGTCATGTTCTTTCTAATTGGCTCCTGGTTTCAGCAAACCCAATTGAAAGTTAATTGGGTTGGTATGTGAACTGCATCTCCACCCCTCCCCCTTATGTTCCCAGGAATGAGCCTAGTACTAATAAAGCTTCGTTGTTTTCCATATGTAATCTGAATGTGGGGTCTGCATTCATTACAATCAACTGCAATCAGTTCTGTGGTTCCAGTGCCCTTTTCTGAGGCAGCTCTGCATCTTTGAGATGTAAGGACAGAGACTACACTGAGAGGTGACCTGCCAAACATCTACTTCTACCTCTACATTTGCCACAGTGGGAATAGCAGATGGTAAATAAAAATTTGTGCCTGTGGCTCAGTCTCTTAGCAGCATCGCTCCTCGCAGACCTGGTTGGAATCACAGGGTGCCACCTTGTGTATAAGCTGACGATTTACTTCCCAGTTCCACAAAGGATCCAAATAGACTCCAAAATAATCAGCCTTAAAGCTCTGCATTTTGTTATCTAAGAAAAAAAATGAAACAGATTTGAAAACACACAGCTTCAGAGGGTCCACAACACCCAATTTTGAATCACACTGACAGCCTGTCTCATTTGTTGCCTCACCCCTGACCGAAAAACACACCCAGTGTGCTCCACACTTGGAATAGATTGATGCTGCTCACTCAGGCTTTTGGATGCGGATAAGAGAAATAAGTAAAGCTCTGTGACAAAGCTAATGAATCTGACTTGGACAGTTATGTGTATCCAAACAGCAAGCAAGCTATGTAATTTCAGGACTTTGGATTTTTTTTTTTTTTTTTAGACAGTCTCGCTCTATCACCCAGGCTGGAGTGCAGTGTTGCAATCTTGGCTCACTGCAACCTCTGTGTCCTAGGTTCAAGCAATTCTCCTGCCTCAGCCTCCTGAGTAGCTGGGATTACAGGCACACCCAGCTAATTTTTGTATTTTTAGTAGAGACAGGATTTCACCATGTTGGTCAGGCTGATCTCAAACTCCTGACCTCATGATTCATGCACCTTGGCCTCCCAAAATGTGGGATTACAGGGTGAGCCACTGTACCTGGTCTGGGCTTTGGATTTTTGAGAAGCTCTAGGTTCCATTGAGCTGATGAATATGAGCCTACTTATTTTAATAAAATAAGTATTTTTTAAATAAAAGTGCATGATGGTGAGGTTTTAAAAATGGCTGACTTTGAAACAGAAATACAATTGTTGGAGCAAGGCCATGGGATGTAAAAAGTAAGATCCTTTCCTGTCCAGCTACCTTGCTCTTGAGAAATTCCACACTTGGAGGAAACCTGCTCTAAATTCAGCACAGCTGTCACTCAGCTGAAGCCACTGTTACATTCATGGAACTAGCTGGACGATTCATATTATTTTCAAAAGGGTGTTAGAGTGGAGATCCTGGGGCTTTGGGGGCTACTGGGGCATACCCACTGTTGGTTTGGGGCTCCTGAAATGTATATTTTTTTCAGCTTCTGTCTCCATTGGTGCATCATTTTCTCCTCAAGCATCTCTGAAAGGTAACTTGGAAGATTGTTTCTATCTCTGTGAAGGCAGTTTAGTCTCACTGACTTGCTGGCCCATCTCAGACAACAAGCAGGCTCAGAGCACTGAGCTCACTGGGGTCCAAGTGTTAGCTAAGAGGAGTCCATTGTTAGGAAACCTGGATTGCTAGTCTAAATGTGGTTCCTCTCACCTATTTTTGAAATCTCTACTGCCAACGAAAGACTAAATGTTCATAACCACAGATTTGTGAATGGAGCGTGCAGCTGGAATCCTGAATTGAAGAAAGTTGGTGAATTGATTTAGTAACAGCCTTGCCTTACTGATCTTATCTTTGTTGTCCCCTAGAACAAAATAACCTGTTTCCTAAGAAAAAGGTTCTGATAAGTAGCCTATTGAGAGCCCCGTGAATTCCAGAGTGACTTGTGAGGAGGTAGAAAGGAAAGCAACTTTGTTTTCTCCATATTAGAACACAAATTTACTTGTCTCTCCTCAGCTATTAAAGGTGACTTTGGCAGGGGAAGAAACAGAGATCATTGAAATAAAACACACTAATTACCTAGAAATTTACTGACTCACCCCCACCTTGTTTCAGAAAAGATTTCAGGTGGCTTTTGAGGGTTGCTAAATATGCTAGGATAGCATTTGGGCTCTAAATTTTCTAGTAACATGAAAATAGGAAACCTTGTCAGCTTCACAGTTCACGGTGTCCATTAGATAAAATGACTGCTTAGGAGATTTACAGTTACTCCTGGTCTTCATTGCAATGTCCAAGAGTCTTTATAAACAGAGCAACTAGGTGATACAGCAGATATTTCAACAAATTCTTACAATAGACACAAAAGAGGCATCCAAGGGCTGTTTCTTACAGTGACCTTCCATATACACTGACGGCATAATGAAATCCAGCACAAGCAATTCTGCAGAGGTTAGAATGGAGCTGGATGTCTGAAGCCACCAGCCCCACCCCATACAGATCTGGTATATGAATGGACACTATGACCCCCAGGCAATCCTGCCTGAAGATTGTTTTTATCTCAACTGTCTCCTGATAAACTGTGCTGCAGAGAGCTCAAAATTGTGCTCTATTACAATTGCCTGAAGTGTAGCTCTTCTAAATGCCCAATTAAGGGCAGGCCCATATGCCTTAAATGACCGTGCTGTGGAGAAAATTCTCTGGAAAGAAAGAAGCTTAACAAGAACCAGTGCCTGAATAGAACAGAAGAGTCTGTCCTGCTCTTGCAGTGAGCTAAGGTATATCCACTGGCAAAGCCAGTAATTTGATCTTTGCATAAACAAAGTGTGCATTGCTACCTCAGGTTAGATGGCATCGGGGGTGGGGAGGTGGGGAAAGGTGGTTTTTGCACACTGCATCTGTGTGAAGGTTGTCCACTAGTTGGTATAGCTGTTGTTTGCAAGCTTTCTTTTCTAGCTGTGGACTCTGCTTCCAGTGCTTCCATTGTGCCTTTACTAACTTAGAAAGAGAGCTGCCCCATCTCTAACTGCTGCTTCTCATGGGCAGCTTTTGTAGACTGCGTAAGGCTGGTTTTGAAGGAAACTGAGTTTCAGAGTGCCCTCCTATCTTCTGTTAAAGGAGAACATTAGGTCCTCTTAGCCATACAGGGGACACTTACGTACCAAGTCCCCATCTTTCGCACTTACCCAATCCAGCAGTTCTTGTAGCACTATGCATTCCTGTCTAGAGCTGGTACATGGGCCCATACCTACCAATAACCCAGACCTACCATTTTAGGAATATCTTGGGGGATTTGCATGGGCAAAGGGACTCCAGAAGTGGATGTCAGTTTGAGAAGCAATTTTCATCACCACATTGATGCCTTCTACTAGGTTTGAAGGTGGTTATAGCTTGATCTGGAGGCTGGTGCTTGAAGGTCCTACTTTTATGGTCTTTTCTCCTACAACTTCTCTACTTCATGGGAATTAAATGGCTTAAATATCATATGTCAGCCCATGTGTGAAGTGACACCAGTCATTTAAAATTGCCTGAGTGACTAACAAAGAAAACAACATTTGAAACCTATTTTAGGTATGGAGATAAGTCTGGAATATTTTACCAAAATATTCCCCTTATTAAGAGAAATGAGATTGCAGGGAAAGGATGATGGTAAAGAGAAATACTTACTTTTCACTTTATAAACCTCTCTGTTATTATTCTAGATAGATGGCTTTAAAAACTCATTTTAAAGAATTACAATCTGATAATAGAGCCTGCTTGGGCTTTGGAGAGAGACAGAGCTGGTCTTCCTGTATTCTACCACCCTTCACTTCCGTGAACCTCTGTGACTTTGTGAAATGGGTATAATGTGCCTATTTCACAGGCTTCTTATGAGAAGTAGACGAAATAACATGATGTAAATTGGCTTACACAGTGCCAGGCATGCAGCCCCAAACAACATTAAAGCTACTGATTCTATTCCCTTCCGTCAGCTTTTTTATTTACATGGCTTGAAGTGATTAAAATTAGATAACATTAGAACTGTAGCACATATAAACAATGAAATCTTGAGTTTCTACTCCAGTTTATGGTTCATTTTAAATTCACTGAAACTAGAGTAAACTGAGCAGACACCCTACCACCCTTCCACACTCCCAGTTGACACTTCATTCCATAGCCTTGGTTGGGGCTTATCAACCACACAAGAATAGAGTGGAACTATTATTCAAATCATCATGGCCATAGGGCCCTGCCAAAAAAGATGATATTAGAGCCTTCAAAATGGGAAGATCATATCTTTGTTGGAGAGACACATTTATATCTAAATACTTAATCAGACTCTGAAAAGTCAGATTTGTTTCTCATTGTCCAAAAGTTCTCTTCAGTATCTATAATGAGATGAATCACATGACCTTAAAACTGGATTTGAGGGGAAGGATTCTGCTTTTTCTTCCTCCTTCCCTCTTATCCTCTCTCCTTCTCCACTTCTTCCTTTATCCTCCTAATTTATGAAATTCTAAAGATAATTTTAAAAGTCCAAGTTTCTGTCTGAACAGCAACATGGTTAGCTCCTATTTGAAATCAGAAAGAGCTAGGCTACTTACCCATGAAAAATCCCCCTATAATTCATGGGCTAGCTGTGTCTGAGTTTACGTTCACCTGCAAAATAAGGCTACCATGTTCACAAGGTATATCAGCAGGAGTAGTTATATAACATCTATAACACACTGGGACTATTTTCAAAAGAATTTACAAATGATGTTTGAAAATGCTTGTCTGATTGTTTTCAACAAATCTATCTGATTATATTTATCTTAATGTGTTCCCATCTACACATCCACATTGGTTTTATCAACAGTCAACATCTCTCATAGTCAAATCTGAGTGAGCCAGAGCCATTTCAGTAAATGCTCTTCTTTTTTTCTTTATTTTTTTCTTTCTTTTTTGGTAATGAAGGAGGTAATGACACTGGTTTGCTTATACGATTTGTAAACTAACTCTGAAAGTCTTTCCAAAAGAAAAGTTCCCAAAATGCAGTAAGTTTGCCCAACTCTCTACTTTGAAGAATCATACTGATCTGGATGTGTATATATTGCTTGCTTACTAAACCAGGCCCATCACTTACTGTCTCTCCTTTTTATTATCCACTGATATAATTTAAATAATAAGAAAAATATTGGAATATAAGGCTGGTAGCCTTGGTTTTACTAACCTTTACTGACTCCTGGAAGGTGAGAAAATTCTCTTAACAAGAGCTTAGCCAAAAAAGAATAATAAATATCCTGCTTGGCTCTGTGTTCTCTGGCAGGATATTTTATTCTCTGTTTGTTTTATGAATTTATGAACAATTCTGAAGGCATTCTATGTGAATAAGCTTGATTTTTTCATAT